TTAATTACTTTATTAAAGTACTTTTTAAAGTAAATCTATGCCTTGTTTCAAGAGGTGATAAAATGAGCTCATTTTAAATCTAATTGATTCTTAGCCACGATACTCAACTGTATTTTCTCCTTCATAACAACTGAATTTCGACAGTAATGGAATATGAAGTGAAAATGAATCAATCAGCATGTCACGAGCGTGGGACAAGGAAAAAAATCTTCTTTGTCCCACGCTTTTGACATGCTGATTAATTCATCGTCACATTTGTTTCATCGAGCTTAAAAATTTGCCATCTTTCATTCTTTCACCACACTGTAATAGAATACTAACCTATACTTCTGTAGGTATCTCTGGAAGCAGATTTGGGCAGCGAACCTGGTTATATTAGCGTCAGAGGTGTTCACGTGGTTCCGGGATACTGTCATCCATTGCCCTTAAGGGCAACTAAAGGTGCAGTGTTGTTTAGCATAGGCCACATCCGCAAGAATCGGGATACTTTGGAAACCGCATATTTATTTTCACGAATCGGCCTTCTGTCCAAAGGAAACCACTGAAACTCGTATTGTTTTGAAACCATGTTTCAGAAAGTGGATTGGGCCCCGTCCAAAATGTAGTCCCGGCAACAAAATATGCGGTTTTAAACATGTCAAAATTCGTGTGGAAGACCCGTGGTAGGTACTTCCTAGACTTATGGGGATTTTCCGCCTTAGGGGGCCGCACATTCGCGACTGGATTGACTATATTAAATGAAGTTGCATTTTCAATAGAGATCTGTGAGGTATGTAAAGTCTGGTGGTAGAAAACAAACAATAATTCGTAAATGATTTCCATACTTTTGACACTGTTACACAGACTTATTTTTCTACGACTATAGTGACTGATGTGCGTTAACTTAGCTTTAATGAGAATGAATTAATTTAATTTTTCAGAATGCGACAGAAACTTTACCACAATGTCAGGCATAATTTTATCCCCACACCACCCTGGGTATTATCCACCGCTGATGCGTTGCCACTGGACCATCAATGTTCCTCGTGGAAACACCATAAAACTTCGATTCCTGGAATTCCAATTGGAAGATCATCCTTCCTGCTCTAAAGACTCCCTAGAGATATATAGTGGACTTAAGTCCAGAAAGGTTTTGGGAAAATACTGCGGAGAAAGATTTCCAGCTTTCGTTGAATCATCTTCAAATGTTATGGTGATAACCTTCGAGAGCAACGACAAAATTACCGGGTTAGGTTTCAAACTACACTATACCTCAGAGAAAGGTAAGGAATTGCTATTAGAAGGCTTAAACCTGATTCATCGTCCCTTAAGGGTTAAGGCACATGGATATATTAACAGTAATTGCTAGTAATCACAGGCGGCCGAAGTTCTGCAATAGGGACCTTAAGATACTCTGGACGCGGCCGAGGAGGACGTCAACCGGAAGTGAAATGTTCAATTCTTGGAACTAATTAGCATAATGCCACAGCGTCGACCTGGAGTCGCGACGGTGAAAACTAGAAGTTTGGCCGCCTCGTAAAACGGTGAGTTGGTTTTCTTGTTTACGGTGCAGAAATTGCTTTTCGTACAGGATTTTCGATCCATTTTACTTCAAGAGACACATCTAAGTGTTTTTAGTGTGGTGTTCTCTCAAGATTGACTCTTATTTTTTTTGCTATCAAGCCTTTTGGGTTCAGTGTTTTGGCGGCAACTGAGAATGAAAACGCTGAGTCTTTCGACACAAATGTAACACTATAACTGCTTGTTTTTAAGGAGACAACGTTCTCGGTTTAGGATAGTATTTGAAAAATTTAAGAGACGAGAAGTCGAATAAAAATTGTTGGAAAACAAAAATAAGGCTTGCAATAAACTTGAACATGTCAAGGAAAATTGAGATCTTGAACAAGACGCCATGGTTCATTCATTAACTATTATAATTTTATTTTGTTCACTTTCAGTTCAGCGATGGAGCGGTCTGAAGATCAAAATCTCGCCTTAGTACGGGAAGTTCTCATAACAGAACCATATCGTTTTAAAGCAAGATCTAGAACAACGGAAAGCGAAAAAGTCCGGCAAAAAATAGCTGATAACCTGAACTCCGACATTCGGCTCCTGACTCCGATCATACCCTCAAGTTTCCCTCGAAGAAATTTGTTTTTTTTTAGAGAAACCGTGGTCATAGCCGGCAGCACAAATTTTTCTTCCAATAAAAGATCGTTAAGGTATCAATCAAGCAAGACTTCACGAGTTTTTCTAAAAGACGTCATGGAATTAAAACACGAAAGCATTACTTTATCCTCTCCCGTCAGGCGAGCACTCCACTCAACCTGCTGAATCTTAATTTATTTTTCCCACGAAGGTGGCGGCGTCCTCGCTCCAGGCTTTCTCCGTTCTCTTTACCGCCGCGTCCAGGGTGTCTTAAGGTCCCTAATATGAGAGTACGCGTGGTTGCATAATTCTCAAAATGGCCGTCAACATAAAGGAGTTGTTGGGAATTCAGGTAATAGATTCAAGAAATTTAATACTCGCAGGAAGTGTCAAAAAATACGCTTTATCTTATTTGCTTGGTTTCTTCTTGCTTCCTGTGTGGTTATTTTCCCTATCCGTTGTGATTTAAGCGATTTCCTTTATCCCGAGTTTATTTCCACTAATAAACTAAAAGGAGTGAAAACGGAAATCGCTTAAATGGCAACGGATCGGGAAGGTAACCACACAGGAAGCAAGAAGACACCAAGTAAATAAGGTAGGAGCGTATTTTTTGAAAATTTCTGCGAGTATTTATCTTCTCGAATCTATTACCTGAATTCCCATACAAATCCTTTATGTTGACGGCCATTTTGAGAATTAAAATGTAGTAATTGGCTATTTAAGCGGCTGTTACCGTAATCGATTTGTAAAATGTTTTTAATTAGACGATGGGTTCTATCAAATGGACAAAACGTTTTATGTCATTTCCAAAATTAATCTTCAATTATATTTTACATCCATTTGGATGACTTAATATTTCTTCGGAATTGCAAAGTCCCATAATATTAACATGAAATCATAGGCTCTGATGTCTACCCTATTCTATTCTGCAGCAGTTTTACGTGTGGTAGTAACACTGGTATATTTCTAAATGAGTCATTAAAAACACTGAAAAATAAAGACTTTTTAAAACATTTTTCCCCTCTTTTTTAGCTGGCATTGATGAAGTAGCTTGTTTTCAATACGAAGGTAGGCAACGATTCTTCTCCCTAAACTCGCTTCCCACCCCCAAACTGAATATATATATATATATATATATATATATATATATATATATATATATTATATATGTTAGGATTTGACGTCACTTTTCTCCTGGGAAAAAACCGGCTAAATAGTCGTACGACAAACGGCATCGGGAATTGGGAAACAAACTGGAAACAAACTACATAACGATCCCCGCCATGCAGCTAGCTCAATGTTATTACGGCCAGTCTTTGAAAGAAAAAATCAGAATGTTTTACAAAAATAATATAATTAATGAAATGCTTTTTACTATTTGAGGTTGTCCGTCAAGTTGCGAGTGTCACCCCGTTTCACGAAAGAGTCTTGAGATGGTAATAAAAGTCAAGAAGGGAAGGAAACTGACTGCTTTACCAGGGAACATTCCTTCTAAGGCAGCCGTAATGTGAGCTGATCCCCTGTTACTTGCATTTGCTAATTCTCAATCTCAACTTCGTTAATAATTTGTAAAGAGAAAACTAAGGAAATTACGTACCATTGTGAACGAGATTTAAATATCTGACATTAGTATTTACCAGATAAGTTAATGGCACTTTTCGCGCGTTTTGATTGGCTCCCGTAACTCGGAATATCCTTGGCTATTCACCTCCCCTTAGGGGGATAGTTGTATACTAATTACCATAAATATTTGCCAAATTTTGCTGCGAATTACTCCAAGACTTTAAGAGCGGCCGTCCATAAATATCGCCTTGGGGCGTGCAAAATGAAAAAATCGAAAATCCCCAAACTTTGTCAGAATATAGCTCCAGGTAAACTATTTCTAGAAAAATAACTTTTAGTTCGATTAGATTTTTCTTTTACGCGTGCGGCGACCGAGTGAGTTCGGGGGCTCACAGGTTGGGTTTCACCGGCTAAAGACAGTGCATTACTTAAAAATCGTTTAAAAATTAAAGAAGAAACAAACTCTGCTTCTGAAAACCTTAAATCAACAAAAATGCTCTTTGGGGCAAAGAATGGCCAAAATCCCCCAAATCTCTTTGCAACGGAACAATACTTATTATTTTCGACTTACTTGCATCTCTTTCGCCAGTTTTTTACTTAAATGAACCCGTTAACAGTCAAAATCCGTTTGCTGTTCAATGAATTAATAGCCGTGAACGGCACAGATCAACACGTTTCAATACTGACTATCCATTGCTCATTTTAAAAGAACAATTTAGCCCACGTCAGCTTACATAAGGATATATGACTAAATATGTTACTTATCTGTCAAAAACTGAAGAGGTATTGGAAATAAAACCGTTAAATACACGTTCTCTTCACATCTGTTGCGGAGCAATAGGACAATGCGTTACACACAGCTATGGGGACTGGGGAGAGGAATGTCAGTTGTATGGGTGTGGGGTAAGTCAGATTTGTGCTGCACAATGCACTAAACCCTCCCTGAAACTAAACAATGATCAAAGTGAAAATGATAAATCAGGGGGCTGATCAAAAGTAAAACGGACTGATTGCGAAACTTTAGAAACCCAAAAAATATATAGCACTAGGACTACCACATGTGCTGTCTGATCTGAACGAAGAGTAGGAGAGAGAACCTGGGAACGAGGTTGTTGTCTGCTATCTTGGGTTATCTCGTCTGCTGATCTTGAAATATTTACTTTAAGTCTAAAAATTCTTTCAGATAAATCAGATACGAAAAACTCCACCCTGAAAAATTTTTTCAAAGTAAACGTGTGATAGTTGAGTAATTCTTACAGCCAGTACCAAAGCCACCTTGCTTCCGAGTTGAAGCCAACACTCGTTGACGTATGGCATCGTGTGGATATTCCACGTTTGTTGGAGGGCCCTGTGGAGCTAGCCCTTCAAATCCTGCAGATGCAACGTGTGTAGCACTAGACAAATGCACAAAAGACGTCAAGTCTCACTTAAACCAATATGACTGCTTTGATTCGTCCTTGAAAACGGAAGCAGATCTTCTTCTCGCAAGAGCAGGTAACTGATTTGCACTGTAAATAAATAAAGCCTTTCCGATGAGTTGATCAAGTTGATGCACTTTAACTGCTTGTTATTATATGTCATTCGTTTTATTTTATTTTATTTTATTCATTAATATTAATTTGTTTATGCGTGGCACCGCAACTCCAAAGACCTCTCACCAAAGACCTCTCAAAGGCAGCAGCGTAGTTCCGGAATTTGACTTACTAACTTTTGATACTAACAGCTAACACATTTTGCGATTACCACAGGATTGCTACATGAATTCACTGCGGTTTCTTTATACATTTTGTTTCAGGGATTTTCGAAGTTGATGATAATCATATTAAAATGTCGATTTGTCCACGACATCGAGACGCCTTTGGTATACGATGGCGTAGCGGCAAAAGAACATGTTCGGCTCCAAAAGACTGGGCGGCGCATAAGAGTAAACAAGTCAAGGGAGATCGGGGTATCACCCTACCACAACGTAAAAGGATCTTTAGGCTCACTTCAGTGCTTGTTCCAGTTGCGTCTCGTAAGTAACAAAAGATAATGCTAAGAATTGCACAATCCTCTAGTCCCTGGGAGCTGTGTATGCAGCCGAAAGAAACCCGGCCAGATGTTATGTCTGGTCTGTGGCGTAGGCTGGGGACTGGTACTTAAAATTTAGAAACAATGAGCTGCCATGAACAAAAAGCTTTATGACCAAATCCTAATTCGATGGGGATCAAATGCATGTCTAAATCAGTGATTAAAACCACATTTGCTGTGTTACAGACACCAACCAAATTTGCAGTGATTATGGAGATTCCACTGCATTATTTCACGAAGGCTGAAATGGATATTCCGCAGATTTTATCGCTGAATAAAGAAGATGGGAAATGTACTCATGAGTTGTGTTTTTTCTGTTTTAATTTTAGCCGTTTGTAAAAAATGTCGGCTGGTGCTTGCATCAGGGGCACCTTCATCCCCGTGTGAAACAAAAGAAGATGTCCCCCCTCCAATCGCAAAAGAGAAACGAGACGTCTGCACATCATTTGCTTCATCACCGTACATTACAAAAGAGGATGTTCCTTTCAAAGTCCAACAAGCAAAGGCAAAGGTATTGTCAGTTGTTGACACTGACGAAACTGACTCGGTAATATATTATTATCATCAGAATCAGAGACAGGATTTGGAATTGAAACAGTTTTCAAATGGCTCCTTCTTGGGACCTCAACGAAAAAAAACCACATGCACACAAAGAAACAGATGGAGGAAGGAGGATTGTTTTAAATTAGATCTGCACTTTGTTTTGCAGTTCGAAACATGTAGAATTAAATCGATGGCCAAAATTTTTTTTTTTTGAAATAAAAGCTACAGTTTTCATCGTCTTCATCATTATCATCGGCCCAATCATCATCATTGCCATTATTTTGTATTACTGTGATAGTCGCTTATAGCTTTTTAACTCCTTATATTATTTTATTATTCTCTTTCTTAATTTGGCTTTCTCTTTTCTTCTTTTCTCTTTTATATTTCAGGACAATGAAAGTACCTCTGGTTTAAGTCAAGCCATGAAAAACCTCGAACTTGTTTCGACAGTAGCCCTTACGCTACAGAAAGTACCGGCAGCAGCAGCGGTAGTGCGAATGATTCATCAATCGAAAACCAAAAGCTTCGTCGCTTAAAGCTGAATGAACTTCTAAGTGCATGTGGCAGGTAAACTGTGAATCAACCGAAAAAGAGTTGGGAGCAACTAAGCACGCGAACTAAAAATGTTCGCGTATCTAAAGCAAAAGATTCTGTCGTTGCGTCGTTAAAGGTCATTTCTCCTGGAAACCCGGCAGCCCTATGGGATGCAATGAAAAGCTCACAGTCTGTAGAAAAAGCCTTGGACACAGAAAATCAATCTCCGTTGGATAAGAAGTACCTGGAAGCGTTAGCAGAGACCTATCAGAATGTAAGTAGTTGGGACACCCGTCGACAGGTGTTGTCAATAATGGCTGATTTGACACCGTACTCTGTTTTGCAGCAATTTATTCCTGGCATCACCGACTACAGAATCAAAGTAGCTCGCCAACATTCCATCGAGCATGGACGCGGTGTTCCCCGCCTGCCGCCAAGAGCCCTAGACTCAGGGTAGACGAAATCCAGCTCGATCATTTTTTAACATAGCAAGAACAGCAAGAAGACAACTCGACGGACGACATCTGCTATTGGAGAATAACAGACCTTTATCTCCTAAACTTTCCGATTAATATGCACTATCGGCATCGATGGAGGTAAGCATGTTTTGGCTTGTTTTTTTAACTAGGAATTATTTTGAATGAATAATAAAACAATTTTTGAATTCGGCTTTCGTATCATCTGAAGAATTATGGAGATCTTGGAGGGTGTCGGCAGATAGCCTGTTTAAGAACCTATACAAATAGCATGCTTTTCTAACATCAAGATTAGACTTTTGCAATTCCCTTTTATATGGAATACCCCGGAAAATTCTCATAATTCAGTTCAGAATGCAGCTGTAAGGGTTGTCACCTCAACAGGCAAAAGAGAACAAATCACCCCTATTTTAGAAGGGCTCCACTGGCTGCCAGTTGAACAACGTGTTATTTTTAAGACATTATTAATAACTTAAAAGGCGCGCTGAATAATCTTGCTCCAACTAACCTCTCCGAATTAGTTAAGCAGTACGTACTGAGTAGGAACCTTAGATCTTACACTACCAATCGTCTCGTCAGTATGTCCTATAACGGCTAAAAACGTATGATTACAGAGCCTTCTGATCCGCAGTCCCTGCTCTTTGGAACGAACACCCCAGAACTTAAGGTGCTGCCGTTGTCTTAACCAATTTAAGACGGCTTTTAATTTATAATCATTCTAGGATCATATTTCCTACATTTTCTTTTTATTTGATTTTATTCATAGTTTTATTCATTTTTAAAACAATATTGTAAATTTTAGCGCATAGCTTAATTTCATTTTTTAACAGTGCATTATTAAAAAGTCAATTGTTGTTGTAAAGCGCCATTGGACAGCAATGGAAATGGCGCTATAGAAGTAAATGTTGTTGTTGTTGTTGTTGTTGTTAAGCTTCATTACCAGTCCCCACGTGGTCCAAGATCTACCGTTTGGCCAACGCTACCTGTACCTATCAAACGGCAAGGTACTCGAAACACCTAATGCGGTAAGGTCCATGATACCACAGCGCATAATTGATCAGTATAACCAGTTCTGCTTGGAGACGAATTTTTCTCCGTTCAGCCCGTCCACAATGTTACGAATACTGTCATCGTGTACCGCTACAGTAAGAAAGTCACTTCAAGGACTAGACTACTTTGCCGCTGAAGGAGCAAAAGCCTTTAACGATTTGCTAAAATTAGTTGCAAGGACTGGAGACAGACAGTGGGTCGTTAGGTGCGAGCAAGCTCTGAAAGAGGGAAAACAGTATTTGAAAACGCACTACAAGGTAGATATTTTAGAACCATTTATAATATAAACACTGAGAGGGTAATCACATAAAAGAAATAAATATGCAAAGGCGATCAGTTGAACCCTTAAAAATTATTGTAGCTATGCCTACCTTTTATGCTTAGTTACCCCTTTTATACTATTAAATAAATTTAATTGTATGACCGCAGTAAAAGATGTGTGATAAATCGTGTCTAGTTCTTTGGCCAATCATAGGTTGATGATTTCTTCTTTAAGATGTCGAATTCAAAATTTACCCAGAAATTTCAAAAACACAATGAAGAAATTCTTCTTTGTAGATATAGCTCATTATTTTTGTTCTGACTACTTTCTCGCAGGTTCATATCACCAGAGCATCCAGTATCCCCGACCACTGTAGTGCGTACGCCCTAACTGATACAAAAGAAGAGTGTCTTCGAGAAATGTGTGACCACGCCCACGACAAGAGTTGTCCCTTTTGTGATCGGCTGAAAGACACTTTAAAAGAAATTGAGTTGAATTTGATCGAAGCGAACCTGGATGAAGAAGACCGGGATGACGTCATGTACTCGTTTCAGCAAGCTTATACAGCAATAGAAGCTTGGAAGGCTCATCAACTGAGATCTATTCAACAGGATAAGGCCCGCTTAAACATCATAGATACCCTGGCAGAAAGTTCAGTGTTAATCACTCAAGACTGGGCGATGAAATTCTTGCCCCGAAAGTACCGGGAAACCCAAGCCGACTGGTTTGCTAAAAGAGGAATCTCTTGGCATATCAGTACCGTCGTACGTCGAAAGGGAAACCTGCAACACCAAGCATTTGTCCACATTGCGAAGAATTGTAACCAAGACAGTGACGCGGTGGTAAGCGTTTTACGCCACACCTTGCAGCAGCTCAAAATTGACCATCCTGAAACAACAACTGCCTTTCTCCGCCAGGACAATGCTGGATGTTATCACAGTGTAGCCATGTTAGCTGCCTGTGGACTTATGGAGAAAGCAACGGGAATTAAAGTAGAAAGAGTTGATTTTAGCGACCCGCAAGGCGGTAAGGGGCCCTGTGACAGAAAGGCGGCCACAATTAAAGCTCACGTTTTAAGGTATCTCAACGAAGGTCACGATGTGGTCACTGCAGAAGACTTCCGAGATGCAATGCTCTCTCATGGTGGTGTTAGAGGTGTTCGGGTGGCTTTGATCGACATGTCCATCGTGCGTCCAACGTCTCTGCGTGGGAAATTAGAGGGAGTTAGCAGCCTTAACAACTTCTATCTGGGAGACCGAGAGCTCACAGCGTGGAAAGCATTTGACGTGGGTAAAGGAAAGAAAGTACCATGGACACAACTGGAAGGTCAGACATCTTAGAAGCTATAGATAACTAACTCATAATTTTGGCACTAGTTTTGTTATAACGTAGCGTAACTGAATAGACATCAATGCGAACTACAAGAGATAGCTGCAACGCTGTTAATTTTAAAGTAGGTTGAGAACTGTTGTAATTTCAGCATGCCCATTCACTAGGCTTAAAAAGGTAACTACACAATACTTTTGAAGTAACGTTTGTTTTAGTGAGATTGAGCATCCATAATCCGCTACTGAAGTTTTTTGATAAAAAATTCTGAAGGCCTTTCTCTTTTAATATTTTTTTCTTTCGTTATTTAGTTGAAATAGGCCCGCTAGAGGAACCAGTTTTCACACATTGTTCATTTTCCCAAGGAGACTTTCAAGATGTCTCTTCATGTGACAACGCCCAGGCCTCTAATAATAGAAAGGAAGAGTCGCCGACAAAAGAGGAAAGTGTTGTTTCCGCTGACCACGAAAGCCCGCTCTTTTATTGTCCAGTGGAGGGATGCGTAAGCACCTTTCAGCGCCACTATAATCTTGAGCGCCACTTGCATTATGAAAAATGCCAGTTTCTCGAGGAGAAACACAGCCTCTTAGACAAGGCGAAGATGATGTACTTCGAAAAACTCGAAGAAGGTGCCAGTGCACAGCCTTTTGTAGCGGGCTCAGTTGTGGTAGAAAAGAGGGCGGGGCATCTGCTATCACCGGGTTGGGCCCTACGTTCAACTAAAAAAAGTTCTAGATTCAATTTCAAGCAGAAGAATTACTTAAACGAAAAGTTTAAGATCGGTGAACAAACTGGACATAAAACAGACCCGGAAGACGTGGCTAGAGATATGAGGCACGCAAAAGAAGAAGATGGCAGCCGCATGTTCACACCAGCTGAATTCCTTTCACCTCAGCAAATTAAATCCTATTTTTCAAAAGCTGCAGCGAATTTACGTCAGTCCGAAAGTTGCGATGATGCTGATGAGTGCGATGTTCAAGCCGTTGAAGAGGAAGATTTATACTCTTCTGTGCGCACTCATATAATCCAGGAATGCCAGCTTGTTCATTCAGTCATGTATGACACGTACAATCTGTGTGAAATGTGCGAACAAAGGAAACTGACCAAGCTCAGCGTGTCAATGTTACGTTTAATATGCTGTTTTTTTTATCTGAAGTGCGAAGGTGTTTCACTGAAACGTAAAGCACCTTAAGTACAAATTGATAGAGGACCTTGTAAAATCGTGCTCCTGCAACTAATATTATTATTGAAACTTGGGTGTCTGGACTAATGCGGAAACATTCACAGCTCCTACTCCGTCCACCCACTCACTCAAATTTCCCACTTCAGTATTATTCCAGTTTAATTGCATAATAACAGATATTTAGCATGTCGATACAAAAATAAAATTAATTAATCGCAAAAGTACCCTCTTAAATTAGTCCACTGAAACGCAGGATTGTCTCTCGGCTTGTGCGCCTGCGGAGGTAGGGTAGAGCAGTGAGTAGGGATACGGAATTGGGATTATGGATGTTTTCGTGTCTTTGATTACTCGCCAGAAAAGGTATAGGGGGAACAAAAGTTTCAGCTAATTAAGAATACGACATATGCCAGGTATCCTTACCTGTACAAGTCGTTTAAACCGTAAATCGCTCAATAGTGAGCTTCCGGTTTGAGGTGCATTACCTGCGCCCCTGTGTCACGCAATTGTGACATTCCGTGAAGTACAAGTCCTCGGTAACTCGGCATTGCATAGGATGGAAGCCTGTTTGTTTATATTGAATCAGCTTTAAAATGGGTAGGTGTATAACTAGTTAGTGTCATATAATGAAAGGAACAATTATTGTTTAATCGTGCGTAAAATATTTTAAGTTCTGGAAAACTATGAAGTTTGAAACGTTTCTCAGTCGGGAGCAATAACAAAGAATTTAGATATTGCAAGTCGATCGCAAATGTCACTTGTTAGTAAACGGTTTCCAACAAAATGAACAAGAGAAATCATGCAGCTACTTAAAAAGCAAACCTTCTTGGCAAATACAAGGCGTTGTGTGCTACAAAGCGCAAAAATATTTTAAATAACGAGAGTATTGTTGTTTTTGCCCTTTGAATGTCGTGACAAAATGGCGTGTTTTGACCTCAACGGTCGCTTTTGTTCGGCGCTCAAAACATTTTGCCTTTTGGATTGCCCAAAAATTTTATTGCATTTATGTGAAGAAGACACCTTTCTCTTTCTATTGGTAGGAAAGGTATGGTCCAAAGCTGTATACCAAAGAGTGATTTTCGAGTCTGAAGTTTTGCTATTTTTTGTCCGTGAAAAATGGGTAAAATAAGTAAAATAATTAAAAATCTAAAAAATATTTAATTTGCCGTCGAATAGGAAAATTTTACATCAAAACAATTGTTTAAGTTGAGCTCTTTTTGGTACGATTCCCAGAAGCAGAATTTGTTTCCTCTAAAATAAATATGCAAAGGCGATCAGTTGAACCCTTAAAAATTATTGTAGCTATGCCTACCTTTTATGCTTAGTTACCCCTTTTATACTATTAAATAAATTTAATTGTATGACCGCAGTAAAAGATGTGTGATTAATCGTGTCTAGTTCTTTGGCCAGTCATAATAGGTTGATGATTTCTTTTTTAAGATGTCGAATTCAAAATTTACCCAGAAATTTCAAAAACACAATGCAGAAATTCTTCTTTGTAGATATAGCTAATTATTATTTTTGTTCTGACTACTTTCTGGCAGGTTCATATCACCAGAGCATCCAGTATCCTAGACCACTGTGGTGCGTACGCCCTAACTGATACAAAAGAAGAGTGTCTTCGAGAAATGTGCGACCACGCCCACGACAAGAGTTGTCCCTTTTGTGATCGGCTAAAAGACGCTTTAAAAGAAATTGAGTTGAATTTGAGGAAGCGAACCTGGATGAAGAAGACCGGGATGACGTCATGTACTCGTTTCAGCAAGCTTATACAGCAATAGAAGCTTGGAAGGCTCATCAACTGAGATCTATTCAACAGGATAAGGCCCGCTTAAACATCCTAGATACCCTGGCAGAAAGTTCAGTGTTAATCACTCAAGACTGGGCGATGAAATTCTTGGCCCGAAAGTACCGGGAAACCCAAGCCGACTGGTTTGCTAAGAGAGGAATCTCTTGGCATATCAGTACCGTCGTACGTCGAAAGGGAAACCTGCAACACCAAGCATTTGTCCACATTGTGAAGAATTGTAATCAAGACAGTAACGCGGTGGTAAGCGTTTTACGGAAAACATTTGACGTGGGTAAAGGAAAGAAAGTACCATGGACACAACTGGAAGGTCAAACATCTTAGAAGCTATAGATAACTCATAATTTGGGCACTAGTTGTTATAACAAAGCGTAACTGAATAGACATCAATGCGAACTACAAGAGATAGCTGCAACGCTGCTAATTTTAAAGTAGGTTGAGAACTGTTGTAATTTCAGCATGCCTTTTCACTAGGCTAAAAAAGATAACTACACAATACTTTTGAAGTAACGTTTGTTTTAGTGAGATTGAGCATCCATAATCCGCTACTGAAGTGTTTTGATGAAAAATTCTGAAGGCCTTTCTCTTTTAATATTTTTTTCTTTCGTTATTTAGTTGAAATAGGCCCACTAGAGGAACCAGTTTTCACACATTGTTCATTTTCCCAAGGAGACTTTCAAGATGTCTCTTCATGTGACAACGCCCAGGCCTCTAATTATAGAAAGGAAGAGTCGTCGACAAAAGAGGAAAGTGTTGTTTCCGCTTACCACGAAAGACCGATCTTTTATTGTCCAGTGGAGGGGGATGCGTAAGCACCTTTCAGCGCCACTATAGTCTTGAGCGCTACTTGCATTATGAAAAATGCCAGTTTCTCGAGGAGAAACACAGCCTCTTAGACAAGGCGAAGATTATGCACTTCGAAAAACTCGAAGAAGGTGCCAGTGCACAGCCTTTTGTAGCGGGCTCAGTTTTGGTAGAAAAGAGGGCGGGGCATCTGCTATCACCGGGTTGGGCCCTACGTTCAACTAAAAAAAGTTCTGGATTCAATTTCAAGCAGAAGAATTACTTAAACGAAAAGTTTAAGATCGGTGAACAAACTGGACATAAAACAGACCCGGAAGACGTGGCTAGAGATATGAGGCACGCAAAAGAAGAAGATGGCAGCCGCATGTTCACACCAGCTGAATTCCTTTCACCTCAGCAAATTAAATCCTATTTTTCAAAAGCTGCAGCGAAGTTACGTCAGTCCGAAAGTTGCGATGATGCTGATGAGTGCGATGTTCAAGCCGTTGAAGAGGAAGATGTATACTCTTCTGTGCGCACTCATATAATCCAGGAATGCCAGCTTGTTCATCCAGTCATGTATGACACGTACAATCTGTGTGAAATGTGCGAACAAAGGAAACTGACCAAGCTCAGCGTGTCAATGTTGCGTTTAATATGCTGTTATTTTGATCTGAAGTGCGAAGGTGTTTCACTGAAACGTAAAGCACCTTACGTAAAATTGATTGAGGACCTTGTAAAATCGTGCTCCTGCAACTAATATTATTATTGAAACTTGGGTGTCTGGACTAATACGGAAACATTCACAGCTCCTACTCCGTCCACCTACTCACTCAAATTTCCCACTACAGTATTATTCCAGTTTAATTGCATAATAACAGATAATTAGCATGTCGATACAAAAATAAAATTAATTAATTACAAAAGTACCCTCTTAAATTAGTCCACTGAAACGCAGGATTGTCTCTCGGCTTGTGCGCCTGCGGAGGTAGGGTAGAGCAGTGAGTAGGGATACGGAATTGGGATTATGGATGTTTTCATGTCTTCGATTACTCGCCAGAAAAGGTATAGGGGGAACAAAAGTTTCAGCTAATTAAGAATACGACATATGCCAGGTATCCTTACCTGTACAAGTCGTTTAAACCTTAAATCGCTCAATAGTAAGCTTCCGGTTTGAGGTGCATTACCTGCGCCCCTGTGTCACGCAATTGTGACATTCCGTGAAGTACAAGTACTCGATCGGTAACTCGAAATGCATAGGATGGAAGCCTGTTTGTATACATTGAATCAGCTTTAAAATGGGTAGGTGTATAACTAGTTAGTCTCATATAATGAAAGGAACAATTATTGTTTAATCGTGCGTGAAATATTTTAAGTTCTGGAAAACTATGAAGTTTGAAACGTTTCTCAGTCGGGAGCAATAACTAAGAATTTAGATATTGCAAGTCGATCGCAAATGTCACCTGTTAGCAAACGGTTTCCAATAAAATGAACAATAGAAATCATACAGCTACTTAAAAAGCAAACCTTCTTGGCAAATACAAGGCGTTCTGTGCTACAAAGCGCAAAAATATTTTAAATAACGAGAGTATTGTTGTTTTTGCCCTTCGAATGTCGTGACAAAATGGCGTGTTTTGACCTCAACGGTCGCTTTTGTTCGGCGCTCAAAACATTTTGCCTTTTGGATTGCCCAAGAATTTTATTACATTTATGTGAAGAAGACACCTTTCTCTTTCTATTGGTAGGAAAGGTATGGTCCAAAGCTGTATACCAAGGAGTGATTTTCGAGTCTGAAGTTTTGCTATTTTTTGTCCGTGAAAAATGGGCAAAATAAGTAAAATAATTAAAAATCTAAAAAATATTTAATTTGCCGTCGAATAGGAAAATTTTACATCAAAACAATTGTTTAAGTTGAGCTCTTTTTGGTACGATTCCCAGAAGCAGAATTTGTTTCCTCTTTAATTTTTAAACGATTTTTAAGTAATATATGGTCATTAGCCCCTGAGAACTGCCGTGTGGGCTTCCGAACCGACTCGGTCGCGGCACGCGTAAAAGAAAAATCTAATCGAACTAAAAGTTATTTTTCTAGAAATAGTTCACCTAGGGCTATATTCTGACACAGTTTGGGGATTTTCGATTTTTTCATTTTGCACGCCCCCTGGCGATATTTACGGACGGCCGCTCTTAATTGTTCAAGATGATATATCAAGCACTCGATGTATCTCGATGTAGTGTTTCTCTCGACTTTCAACACCTTAAAGTTAACCAGCTCGTAGTGCACAGCACTTCTGGATTTCTTTATTTATTCATCGCATCGTACTTAGTTTAAGTACATGTAGGTGTTGAGTTTCGCAGTCATATCCAGAAAGATCTTTTCCGTGTAAATATTGACGCTCCGCTTTCTCTAAGATCGAATTAAAAAGACAAATATTATTGAGATTGCATTTTCGCTCTTTACCCAAAACATGTTTGTCATCTCTTCTTATATGAGCCGTGCTCCTTTTTTTCGCTGAATCGATTTTCCCCCTTTCATTAAGGGTACGTAATCCCCCCAAATTAAGAAAGAACAATAGAATTAAACCAATCATTAAATTGCACCGCAATAGTCAATAGCCGATTCTGACTGAGAACTAAACCTGGAAAATTATATTATACTGCTTTTGGTTTGACAGACTATTTCAGAGGAATAAAATATCGCATCTAACCAAGAAACAACTCTCTGATATGTCAAGTCTGAAGTATTTGTAAGTTCCTGATTCATACTTATTTTTAGTAAGTAAACTGTACGTTTATTTTTTTATTGTATATTCTAAAAATATGCCATAAAATCTTTACAGGGACCTGAGTGGAAACCACATCTTCAGAATTGAAAGAGGTGCATTCGGCAATGCATCTGTGCTACAAACGTTGTAAGTGTAAATCTGAAAACGCACAATTTTGTTTGAAACAACTAAAATGTCACTAAAAAGTTTATATTAAAGTTCATGCCCCAGCTGTTCAAACGGTGAATTACGCTATCCACCAGATGGATAGCTCAATTGGTTTCCCTAATACTTACCAGCTGGATAGGGATCTATCCGGTGGATAGTGCTATCCATCGTTTGGACAACCAGGCCCAATGCATTAACTGGTCTTACACTAAAAATCAATTGACCTGTGGCCACAACAACTTTTACAAGTCTACGAACGGATTGTTTACATTTCAGGAAACTTGATTGGAATCTCATACGGGCCTTACCTATCGGCATGTTGGACAATATGAACAATCTTCAGACTTTGTGAGTTTATTACTATTATTTAAGATATACTGTACTGGTGTAATTGCAAGTGAATTTTCTCTCTAAATGTCCGAGTCCAAACCATGGATTTTGGGAGGCAAACAGGGTTTCTACTTGATGGAGGTGAAGATTGGGTGTAGAAAGAGAGGTTATTGGCTGCGGTCGCAGTGGGATTATCTCTAGAGTAACAGCGGTGTAAACATATCTGTTTACGTTTCACTATTAACACTAATTCTACTGTTTAAGGGTCGCATTTCCTTTGCATAAGAATTGATTTTTTGACTTGATGACAGATGGGTGATGACCCGGGGGTGATGAACATGAGATTTTAAAAACAGGAAAACATCATGCAAGATCAACGCCTTCTCGTGGCAAGTTTAGTTGTGATTTAAATTTAATTTTTATTTCTTGTTTATGAAGTGAAGGCTATTTACTCTCCATGCCTCGATCGTGAAGCATGCCTTACAATTACGTCGATTGTTGATTCAGAGACGACAGCTCCTTATGTTTGCCTTCAGGGTTAGGGAAATGCAAAGAATAGCTCACTGGAGATGACCAATTTAAGCCTATCCAAGTTCACGGAAATGTTGAATAACGACAGGCCTTCTTCCTTGCGTATTGGTCCTACAGGCGAATAAAAAAATTTGTGGAAAACTCAAGTTTTTGCTATACAGATTTTACGTTTTCCTTTATGTGGCCTTGAGTTTGGAAATTACTTGAAATGTAATCCGGGTAGTAAGTGCAGCGGTTTCCGGTCCTTTTGCTGATTGGCTCAAAGGCAATTAACTTTGATGTAAACAATTCTCTACAAAGCTTTTGGGTGTGGTTTACACCGTGGTAAATTTCCTTTTTTAGATGCCGCGTTACCCGAGCAACTAACACTTACACCAGAAGTGAAAAAAACAGTCGGTCGCACTGGAAACACTAAAATCACTGAAAAACACCATTGTAAACACTGGTTTTTAACCCTAGTGCGACCACAGCCAGTTTTTGGAGTTCATGTATGTCGAATGTGTTGCCAAGGATTTTGTTGGAGTAGTTTTCCATGTCCTTCTTGATGGTGCCAAGGGCTCCGATAACCACTGGGACTGTTGTTGTTTTGAGCCCCCACATTCGTTCAACCTCGATTTCCAAGTCTTTGTACTAGGTAATCCTTCCCGTGGTTTTGTCTGAGGTGTTGGTGTCGAGGGGTATAGTCTTGTCAACCAGAAGGCAGGTTTTGTCCTTCTTGTTCTTTAGCACAATGTCCGGCCTATTAGCTGTGATGGTCCTGTCAGTGTGGATGGGCATGTCCCACAGAATGGTGACGCTGTTCTTCTCTGTGACAGTCCTGGGTTCATTCTCATACCATCTTTCCTTCACCTCAATGCCAAACTCTTTGCACATCTTCCAGTGCATGTGTGCAGCTGTCTTGTTGTGGCAGTGGGCGTATTCAGTTCAGGCAATTTCAGGGAAACCAGAGACCAGGTGGTCGATGGTCCCATCGAAACGGCCACAGGGTCAACATTTTGGGTCCACGTCAGGTTTTTTGAGGTTTAAAGTATGTAAAAAGTTGGCCTCTAGAATCGCAATACTGCGTAAAATTCGAGCCTGTCTACCTCTTAAACAGCGACTTCAGTTTTATAATAGCATTATTCGCCCTGTTATGTCTTACGCTAACGTTGTTTGGGCAAATTGTGATAAAGAGTCGGTTTATAGGGTCTTAAGATTGCAAAAACGTGCGACACGCGTTATTTCTTATGCCGATCGCATGACACCATCAGTTGCTTTGTTTAACAAGCTAGGTTGGATTCCGTTTTATGAGCAACATAAGATAGATAAATGCATAATAGTGTATAAGCGAATTAATGGGTATTTGCCGAATTATCTAAATGAACACTTAATTTTGAATAATAAGCGGCACTCCCGCAACACTAGATATTCAAGCATTAATGCTGTTTGTCCTAAATATAGAAGAGAAACAGAGGGAGGACGCTCTTTCGCTGTTTCGGCAACAAGACTGTGGAATAGTACACCAATTGAAATTAGGAAACTAGATTCTGTAGCATGTTTTAAAAAGAACTTGTTTGCCAAGATTTTTAAGGAACAACAATGTTTGCATCATTTTATCATTTGATAATTTTTTTATTTTTATAAAATTCGAATCCTGTTTTATTTTAATTGTTTATATATTTTAGCTTACTATATTTATTAGATTGTAAATAGTTGTGTATTTTATGAGGGCCACAAGTTTATTAGCCTTTCGCTATTAAGTGCTACCCTCTTTAAATAAAGGCTTTATTATTATTATTATTATTATTATTATTATTATTATTATTATATATTATATTATGGAATTGTAGATAGTGTTTTTGATGAATTAATTAGATTTTTTTGTAACAGCAGGTTGATTGTAAATAGGATTTTAATTGAGGTTTTGTAATAAAGATTCTTTTATTATTATTATTATTATTATTATTATTATTATTATTATTATTATTATTATTATTATTATTATTATTATTGTGTTGGTACCAGCGTGTTGGGAGGCTTTGATCTTGGGCTGCGATGAGAAAACCCTCGGCCTCTGCCTTGAGGCCAGCTGCTTTTAGCCATCTGTGGGTCTTGTCTTGGTCCACGTAAGCTTGTGTCACCCGCTGTGGGTATTTGCCGTGGGGTGCTTTGGATTCCCACTTTGACCTGAGCTGTTGGCGACCCTTTTGTTTGGCCTTGGCCTTTGTTCTGCGGGCATAGGTGGTGTTCGCCTCATCCTCCGCAGGTGGTATTGTAGGCACTCCCAGTTCCCGACTGAACTTCATTGACTGTCTGCTGATGGAGTACAAGGATCTCCGGTCGTCATCGTCTTTGACAAAGTGGAGAAGGGTGTCCTGCAACTCCTGTAGGTATTTTTCAAGACCGATAGTGGTCGTCTTGTAGGAAAGCTCCAGTTGTATCATTATCATTATCATTATCATTATCATTATCATTATCATTATCATTATCATTATCATTATCATTATCATTATCATTATTATTATTATATAGTCGCAGCCTTCAGGCGTTATAGTTTTCAACACACAAACTTTATTTCTGGACTTTTACACCTGGTGAGGGGAAACAAGCGAACCGAAGCGAAGCGATGTGAAGTATAGCGGTACTGAAAAATAACAATTAAACAAATACGACTTCAAGATAAAACAACCTACAAACTGAACGAAAGCAATAAGGCAAACTAGAAATGCGAATGCACGGGACGAAAAATTGGATTTACGACACTTTTGACACGCGTCAAAAGTTAAATCAAATATGGTATTGGCTTTGACGTCACCTTTGACGCGCGTAAAAGATGTCGCCAAATATATAACCTCTGTGCTTACTCCTTTGACCTCGGTAAAGGTGAAGTCAAATTGGTAACAACTTTGACTTCTCCTTTGACGTGCGTCAAAGATCAAGTCAAATGCATCAATGCTTTGCTATTCCTTTAACCCTTATCAAAGGCGTTGTCAAATATGCTGGTAACTTTGACTTTACCTTTGACGCACGTCAAAGATAAAGTCAAAAGAGTAGTGGCTGTGACCACACCTTTGATACTAGTCAAAAATGAAGTCAAATACGACCGCTACACTTTTACAACACTTTTGAATGGTGTCAAGGGTGAGAGCAAATATGCAATGAATTACTTCTACAAACACTTATGTCGAAACTGATTTTAAGAAAGGAAATTAAAAAGCTGTATTTGAATACTGTTTTAAAGATATTTATACGACAATACCGAACACAGGCTGGTAATCATTGTAATTGGTGTTTATAATTATTTTTGAAAATGTTCTGGAATATGTACTTTTTCGAGGTGAATTAAGTGAGTTTTGTTTTTGTCTTATCTTGAGTGGATCATTTTCCCCTTGATCGATTAATATACGATGAATAAATGATAGCGACGCAAAACAATGACTCAACAACTGGACGATGGAAGACTGAACCCAAGCAAGACACCCTGTTTTTGGCGCGAAATTGTCGCGGCTGCAAACTCTCTCCGCCCGCGCAAACAAACAAACTACGCAGATCTGAAGAAAACAAAAGCTGCTTTTTTGTACGAAGCAGTCCAGCTTTTTTTTAACAAATATTTTCGCCCTTATCTCTGATAGAGTTTAGACTACAAACTTGTTCAAAAGGTACGTGTCATTCTTTTCTATGTGTGCATGCAATAGTTCTTCTTCAAACTTCATAGTTGTTTTACTATGTTAAGCTTACAGAAACCAACTCCGAACAGGCGTGTATATCGTGCTTGGGAGCTTTTCTGATCGTTAAATCTGGTTCAGTAAACTATAAAAATCTTTCTGTATCACAGTAGAGTTTACATTAGATCAAGCCCTTTTTCTTAATAGGGTTAATGCATTTCTGTAAAAGTAATGCCTGGCTTATATTTCACAATGCAATTCAACTCAAAACTTCATGCGAGAACCTACTAACATCAAGATTAACCAACTCTGGTTTTTCTAACAGTTTATATTTATCTGCGAGAACTACTCAGGTAATGAAATAATATAAGACTTACATATATCTTTTTTCATTGACAGTGTACTTCAATAAAAATGTCTGTACCAGACTTTGATGGGCATATTACTGAAGCAAGTACATAAGCTTATTTGAACAGGATTCAGTGCAGTTTATCAAACAAAGAGGTGTGATTATTTGAAGACTTCGGATGTTTTGCGAACGTGAGTATCTCTTTCTATTGATTTTTCTGGGTTCTATACGTAATGGGGCTCATACTGCATAATTAATTTTTAAAATATTCCATTGATTTTTTTACCACTACAGTGGCAGCTGGGTATGTTTCAACATTTAATAACAATCATTCAAACATACCGAGCTGTCCCTTCATTATTGTTACTGGACAATAACTTTGGGGGTTAAAAAGGTAGAAAAATAGCCGCGTAGCAAGCTTTTCCGCGCGAGTTTTGTGCAAGAGGGCAAAAAAAGAGGAAGGAGGGGCCGGGAGGGGCTAACTCGCGCAATAACTCGATTGGAAACGCTTGTTATGCAGGCTAGGTATAATATAAAGTGTTTCTTTAGTTTAATTTTAAGCTTTGGGCATAGAGGGAAATTTTGATTGAATTTTCCTGGACTTTATTATGTGATAATAAGGCTCGATTCAAACGTCAAATTTCACAGGTGACGAACTTAATGACAATACATGTACACGAAATGTAATGTTTCCATTCAAAAGCATTAGGTTCGCTACACATTTTTAACAGGGTCTTTAAGTTTTGATAAAGGTAAAGAGAAAGGGGGATTTTCTGAAGAAAAGGAGCGATAGTAAAAAGGGAGTGGGGCCAAAAAATTTATTTAAAACACTATGACTGAGCTTTTTATCTCAAATTTCTATATTTTTTTTACAATTATTTCACAGATAAAAGAAGCAAGGCAAAGTGATAAGTCTCCAGTGGGAAAAAAAAGCACACAACAGAGGAAGATTGAAGTTAGATACATGGCGTTTGTCTTTCACTTACATCAAGAGTCAAAAGCACTCTAGAATGAAAATCTTCGCAAAGATAACATCAAGACAGATAGGCTCCTGATCAAGAACATTTCTTACTTACCATGATTTTAGCACTGGCTTTCGTGAAAGAGTGTTTTAAACTATTTTGCAGGTTGCCGTCCGTGACAACAGCGTGAATCTGGAACATTTATAGTGCTTCAAAAATTTGCGGCAGTCATTATGATTGTCCATTGACAAACTGCATTGAGTACTTTAGACAATAAATCGTGAAAATGTTTTAAAAAACCATTTTTATGCGTTTAAAAAAGTTTTAATCGGAATTATTCAGCTTTCTAATCATCTAGTGAGGTTTTAGGACAATAAAGTACAAGATTAAGAACTCAATCTCTTATCTGTCCACCTTTTTAAACGGTATCCAGTTCGCAATTGAATTTGACTGAAAATCTCAAGTTGGATTCTAGCCTGTATATCAAGCGCTTATGACTAGCGAGGCAATAACGCGGCATTCGCGCGAAACGCGAGGAGAACGAGGAATTCACGCGAAGCGCGAGACGAGCGAGAGGCGCGATGCGAGGGGAGGAAAAAAAACAAACATATTTGGCAACACCTTTGTTAAACCTTTGACTTAAATCTCACACGCATTTGACGACAACTTTGTCACACATTTGACCTGAGGCTCAGACACTTTTGACGACACTTTTCACAAGCCTTTGACTTTAATCACAGACATAACTTTGCCGCGCTTTTGTCACACCTTTGGCCTGAATCTCAGACATATTTGACGACGCCTTTGATAGGGGTACAAATGCTAATGAAATATACCTTTGACGCGCGTCAAAGGTAGGGGTTAAAGGCGTGACAAAAACGGCCTTTATCGCCTGAAGACGCGCCTTTGACCGCGGGCAAAGGTAAACATTTGTCGCGCGTCAAAGTTGTACAAAGGTGTGCAAAGGTGGCCTTTATCGCGCGTTTGACTTCACCTTTGACGTTCGGTAAATCCGTTTTTTCGTCCCGTGATGAAACAAACGAGATACTTACAAGACGATAGCGCGATAAGGACGAAATACTATAGGACGAGCATAGACCCAAACATTAAACTGTAAACTGGACCAAGCGCAACTTACGAAGAACTGACGCGAAAAGTTACAATCAAAGCTAAATATACGATATGCAGAAAAACCCTAGCACGAAGGACAAAGCTAAGCGGACAATGAAAAACTAAGGAACCAATAAACAGCACTAAAGGCGCCAACACGAAAATAACTAATTAAAAATGTGGCGAACATAAAAATACTATAAAGGTAACGGAAAACATTCCTGGCGCTTACATTCCGGCCCCTAGATACAAATCGGTTGTACTTACCTGATATTATAGACAAAAGGGAGCCAGGAACTAACATAAAAATTAACTACGGAAAACAATCTTCTTTAACGCCGAACTCCTTAAGCGAAAAATAGTCTCACGAAGGCCTAAGTGCCTCAACAGGCTTCATTGTTCAAACTTGATAGAACATCACGTAAGCTCAGTGAAAGTCACCCAAAGTCTCTTGAACAAATCCGGGAAAACAAGACACTTTCAATGTTCAATTGATTCCAGCAAACATAACTTCGTAGTGGATCGCTCCAAAGTAGAGGTCTTGGTTTTGACTCTTACGCGCCGCACGAAACCATCTCTGTCTGGGAACACTTCTGTGATTCGACCAATCGGCCACACGTGCCTGGGCGTCGATTCATCAACGATAACCGTGTCTCCAACAGTGAAGTTTCTTCACGGTCGAAACCATTTCTGGCGCTCCTGCAACGAAGGAAGGTATTCTCGTTTCCAGCGACTCCAGGACACATTTGCCAAATACTGCACTTGACGCCATCTTCTCCTGGAACAAGTGTCGTTCTTTTCAAACAGCCCTAGTGGTAGAGATTCATTTTGGCGAAGTAGTAAGAGGTGATTGGGCTTAAGAGGCTCCAAATCGTTAGGATCGTCGGAGACTTTGGTCAGCGGCCTTCCATTAATGATACTCTCAGCTTCACACAATAAGGTTTGAAGGCCCTCGTCGTCAAGGACTTGCCCCTTAGTCAAAGCTCCAAGAATCTTGCGAGTGGATCTGATAAGTCTTTCCCAGACTCCACCGTGGTGGGAAGCCGCTGGAGGATTGAACACCCATTTAATACCTTTCTGTAGAAAAGTGTCGTGAATCTTGGCCTGATTCCAACCTGAGATCAAAGCGCGAAGTTCCTTTTCAGCTCCCGTGAAATTCG